CAATTTTAGCTGTAATTCAAGTGTGTCTACTTGTTCCATGGTTAAAACAATTGATTGACAATTGTGTAATATTGACGACGGATCGAGTACACTTGTGCTTCGGCCGGTCTTTTATTATATACACGCATATATTTATTACATGCGTTGCTGCGGTAAAGTTTTCTTTCGCAGTTCGAGCGTTACACACGGTTATGCATTCACCATCAGGCATGGTAGCACCGAATTCGCCGCGTAATTTGATGTCGATGTTTGAGTAAACGCATTAATTAAAATTGTCAAGGTCCGCCCAGTCTCACCTAAATTCGTATTGTAATTTAGACTACTTTTAAGTTTGGAGCTTTTCAACAAGTCTAAAGAAGTCGAAGAAGGAAATTGCCGATTGGTGACAAATTCCACAACCTCTGTGTATTGGTTCCAAATTTGGAATTTTAACGTTCGTTCGTTCGTTCGTTCATGGCTTCCACCTACCACTGGTGTCCACCCATTTCACGTTTCTGATTGGTGATCTAATCAACCTTAGTTGCTCATCCTTGGCGGAACAGATATGCAACAATATTTTGCACACATTGGGACTAAAAGCGTGAAACCCAGACGTGAATTGCACATGAAACCCTCGAGCGAATTTGAAGATGGAAGCTTGTGCGTCGAACAATATGAAATGCTTCCACGTTTCTTAAAGTTGACTTGGGTAATCTGTCTTGGGGACCACGCACGCATTTGCTTGGATTCATGTAGAATCGAATCATCTGAAGGTTCCCGAGGGTACGGACATCACACACAGCAACATCCTTCATCCTCATGCAGTAAGGTTTCCAAGAATATGTTCAAGGCGCCAGGATTGCGTTATCATTTCCCAAATACGTCGTATGTGCGCGTGAGTGTGAGAACGAATGTTCGATTCTCGTGATCTCGAATTTCTTTTTTTTTTCATACCTGTCAAGAGTTACGCATGAAACACGTAAAGAATACAAAATATACACACCAATCATCGACAAAATGCAGATGGTCTGTTTGCGACTTTTGAATTTATTAATTAGGCACCGCATTCTCTTACATTCACCAGAACAATATGGAGTTGACATCTCTTTGTTGAATGAATGAATGAATGGTGAATGTATGAATAAATGAATGAATGAGTAGAGGTCAGCGGTTTCGACCACCACCATCCCTCAGGCACAGTGGTGTTCGGTGAATAAAGGTTGTTTTGTGTCTATTCAACGATAAACAGTTACACAGCCACGAACTTGCCGATCCTCGAATGACATCACGAAAAATGGCGCGTCCTCATTGGACTATTATTTATAACTCGCGCAATACTGGATGGATTATGATCAGGCAACGGAGGAACCAAGAAAAAAGCCTTGTGCTCATTAGCTTTTTTGGATTTCTTTTTGTGTGCCGTGAAACCCGTCCAGAGGTCTGTAGGAAAAAAAAAGTAAGGGGATAAAGGAGAAGCCAAAACAGTTTCATCCTTATCATCGTCGTGGAAAATTGACTAACCGT